TCAATTGATAAATCAAGCATATCAGTTGTGTATATATTAAACAAATATGAATTATAGTTGAAATCCAAATCATCTGATGGTGATGATGGTATATCATGTGTTTTATTTTTCAAAAATTCCTTTAATCCACCAACACCTGTACTAACCACTGGAGTTCCAAATAATAAACCTTCAACTGCCACTAATCCAAAGCTTTCTGTTATGCTAGGTACAAATAATATATCAGCAGCAGCCCTATACAAAACACCCCAATTTTGTTGAAATTCAAAATCACTAATAACTACAACATTATCTGGGTACTCTTCACTTATGCTAATAACTTTTTCCACAGGATAACTATTACATTGTCCCATTATTATAAATTTAGCATTTAATTGTGAAATAATTTGAGCAGCATCACGTAAAAATTGTACACCTTTATTATATTGGAATCTACCTACAAACAACACAATCACACGATTCAAATCTTCTTCTCTCAAAAGACCTTCTCTAATCAAATGTTTCTTTGCACTATATTTTGAATAAATTACCAGGTCATTATAATGTTCTTCAATATTTCCATGAACAAGGGTATTTGGATTGAATGTATTAATGTTTTTTGGAAAGTTTGAATTGGTTTCAATTAATAATATGTCATTAAACGGATTAGAACTTATAAGATCAATACCACTAGTTATGCCAATCCAATTTCCTGTTCTAGCACGTTCCAGTATACTAGGCATAATCAATTCTTTAAGATAGAAATCCATCGGTCCTTCCACCATTTCTTTAGCCATTGTATATGAAACAAATGTGACATAATCTGCTTGATCAATTGCTAATGATGATGTGTACATTCTTGAACCATGAAAATAATTTGGCTTTTCAGTTGTGTAATCTTTTAAATCCATAAATTTTAAAATATTTACAACTTCATTTGAGTACAATTGTTCTTCCAAATAATCATGTAAAGTATAAACAATAGCAGGTGGTGGTTTACTAAATCTGTTGTTTTCTTTATTTAAATCCTTAAGGAATTCAATCACCAATGCATTTGTAGCACCATGAATATGTATGATATCAACACCATGTTCTTCTCGAGTATCAAATAAAGGAGTATCAACAATATTGGTTATATACGCTATTAATTCAGCTACAGCTTTGCAAAAATATAAATCCCTCCATTCTTGAGGTAAACTTGGTGGTGATGAATATATATCAGTGACACGTTTTGATTTAAAGGCTAAATTAAAAGGCGCCGCATCTTTACTATGACCTATTGCAAAAACCCTTATAGCTTTTGGCTCTGGTGGTGATTCGTCATTCAATACATCGTCATCTTGAGTTACATTCCAAAAAAATTGATATACTGTAAACACCACCTGTTCTGGATTCCCATATTTATCTTGAATATCAATTGACATTTGAGCAAAACTATGAATGTCATGATGTGACTTCAAGAAAGAATAGTAAGGCATGATTACATTCACTTCCAATGCACTATTAGCAGTTTGAGCTTGTGACAATCCTGTAACTATATGACCTAATCCACCCATTGATGCTAATCCGAATTCTTTTGTGACATGAAAAATATTGGTAACTTGATTTAACTCAGTTGTTACATTAGAAGGTATACCAATATATTTTACTGGTTGGTAATTTTGTTTTTCTTTTTTTTAAAAACATACAAAAATTTTTTTATTATTGTTAATATTATGATGAAAACATCCATTTTATAAATTATGATTGAAAAATATTTTAACGCACCTATTTTGGGATGACCATTCCTCGAAGATAATAAGAAGTTCATAAACATTAAAACACCTGGAAGCAAAGCTAAAATAATCATAACCACTATTAAATATGATACACATCTCCAACGTTTTCTTTCTATATATGGTCCAATTAACGGCATATGATTCATTCTATGTTTTGTCATAATAATAAATTGATTATTATTATTATTAATAAAAGAATTATCATTTTTTTCACATGGAACTTTGGCTTCTAAATTTCCTAAAAGTTGATCAGACAACATATTAGCGTTATTGTAACTAGTAGTGGTTTCGGTTTGAAAATTTGGTGATCTTGATCTTGGACGCATTCCTGGAGAGTTCGTAATTATTTAATGTTGGATTTTATTAAACAATAGTGTTTTCATAATTTATATGTGATTGTTAATTAAAAAAGTATTACAAACAAACAAAACAAACGTTTGATTGATAAAGGATCTCCATAACAAATAACAAAATTGAGTTTTTTGTGCGGAATTGTGTTGCATAATATTATTAATAATGCATTATTATTATTATTATTTTATATTACTTGCCATATTTCACACGACTAAAAATCTTTGTTAATATGATATTCGTCCAGTCAACGCTCGTCATTGACTAATAATAACACACCATTATGGTGAAGCGTAATAATATTCATACTTTCTTTTCAGTAGACTTGAGTATGCTGAGTCCTTTACATTATTTAGAATGATAAAATATTTTTCTAGTTGTATATTAATATTATAACTGTACTTTCTAATGTTATTTTTTTTTGTTGTCGAGTTGTAATGAAATAAATAAAATATGTAATTTATTTAAATTACTTCTTTATTTTCGAATTACTTCTTTTGTAGTTTATTAAATAGGACTTTTGTGATTATTGGTGTTGAATTGAAATTTTAATGAATTATGCTAGCAAGCCTCGAAATATTATTCAAAAAGGGTAAAACCATAATTTAGTAACGAATGACTTGACTCAACACATGACTAGTAGTTTGGTCAAGTATATCATTAGGGTTACGCACTCAAACCTTATATCGCCAGATGCAATAATAAATTTATTATTGAATATCTATCGTCATTCTATTCTCTTGAAATCTTGCTTCATCTTTACATGTATTAATATCATTTTGAATATTATTATTCATATTTGCTATACCATCTTGGAGTTATTATCCTAGTGATGAATGAAACATCTCTTTGTATCGAAGCAATTTCTGCCTTTGATTTGCTTTCGACTTATTTCTAATCTTGTCCAAAAATCTATTAATGCCGCTTTATAAAGTACCCTATTTATATGTTGTGGTAGTTTCAGAAGATAGAAATTGTTTATTAATAAAATGAAGGAATGTAATTTCTCCATTTCTCGTTATTCTTTCCTTCATCTTAACCACTATCCTCCCCTCACGTTCTGCTTAATCTCCATTCCTTATATTTTAAAGTTCTACTTTGGATAATAACTTTAATCTAATCTTGAGACTAAAATTTCAAATAATTTCTATTATAAAACAAGCTCACGGGTCTGGGACACTTTACCGACAAGTATTGTGTTAACAATTTGCCAAGGACTGTGTGAAGACCTGGATAACTAGCTAAAAGTTTGGTTTTTTTACAACAAGTTAAATCAACCGTTAATTAACTAATAACACCATTTATTATCCTTACTTTGCATCAAAAACCAGTTCATAAAAATACAATATAGATACATGTGTAATATATTTTTTTTTTGTCTGACGAAATTGATAAAAATTGCATATTTATTTTTATACAAAAAAAAAATTTAAAATGAAATATTATGGGCAATGTCCCGAAGAAACTTTATAGTTGATCTAATGTTACGGTCATTTAATACTGTTTGAATCCGTATTTCACGATTACGATCTTGTGGTTTCTGTGAGGGTCGTGGTGTTCACCGCAAGACCATTTCTAAGTCAAGTTCGACTTTACTTTGATTATCGGTAAAGTGACCTGTCGGTAAAGTGTCCGGGCCCGCAAGCTCACAACTGGGAACGCAATGCGAGCTTATGGTTTTTGAGAACAAAAATTCATTTATTTTAAGTTGGGTTTGGGATTGCATCTTCTTCGTTGCAAAGAGCAAAAAATGACATCACTCGGGCCAAGACACAGTAATCTATTTTGTAAATCCAAAACATATAAATAGGACAGCCATTTTTTTGAAAATCTTGAGTATTTTCATGAAACAAAATCGGATCTTAATCTTTATTGTCATCCTCAAAAAATGGGGCTTCATTGTTGTTTGCTACTTGTTGCTATAATAATAAATGCTTCTCATAATTGATGGATTTCATATCTTACAAATGTAACAAATCAAATCAATTAACGAATTTTATCTCTCCTTTCCTTTTTTTTAAAAAATGTTTCCTTATAAATAAAATAAACAATAAAAAGAGAGAGGTCATGTCACGAATGGTCAATACACCCAGCACGAGTCACCAGCAAGAGTTCCATTCTCTCACTTGCTGGACTTTAATAACACATTTAAGCGAGCCACATGGGCTCGCCATTGCATGTCTTACCCCGAGACAAGTACTAATAATGGAAAAATGAGCCTTATATTTCAAGTTGTGCATGAGGTATATACAGTTTACAACATTTCATTGGACAAATTTTATTCTATTGAATTATTTGAAATTTTTTTTTTAATTACACAGGATTACACAATAAAAATTACGGAACGTTTGTCAATTATTCAATAGTTTGTATAGTGCAATCAAAGTAAGTGTTAAATACAAGATCAAGAAGTTTGCAAATGAACGTTTTATCAGTTATTCGATATTTTGTATAGGAGTGATTGAAATAAGTGTTAAAGGCAAGATCTGCGAAGTTGTTTGCAAAATATATTTAATGAATGTTTTATCAATTATTCAAATATAGGCAGGTTCAATCAAAATAAGTGCTAAAGTCAAGATATATTTGCAAACCAAGTTTTCCAAAATGAACGTTTTATTATTCAATAACTATATAGGCAGGTTTGATGAAGTCGGAAACCTTTTCTTCTTTTATATATGTTAAAAATCGTCAAAATTGCATAACGTCCACGTGGCATTCCTCTCTGAACAAATAAATTATGTAGATCAGTCCCACACAACCAATAACTTTTGTACCTACCTGTTTTATTCAGGATTTTTACACAATTTTAAATTATTCCAAATACGCACATATTAGATAATCTACATTAAATTAAAGAAAAAAAGAAAGGTCATAATATAGTTATTATTAATAATGAGCACGGATCAACAGAAGAAACAGACTATGCAATATTTGCAAAAAACAATTGCTGAAAGTGGACAAGCAGGTAAAAAAAAAAATAAAAATAAAACAGAAGATGCTTTTGATTAATTGGTTAATCAACTAAATGATTTATAAATTTAGGATGGGACAAATTATATATTGATCAGGCAAGGAAAAGAAATAGTGCATTTATGTTTAAATAATAATTTTGATAATAAATAAATAAATAAATGATAAATAAATAAAAACAGGTAACGCCATGGAATAATAATAGGCCATCACCGGCATTAATAGATTTGGTTGAAGTAAAAAAATTTGAATTACCAGAAGGAAAAGGTTTAGTTCCCGGATGTGGACAAGTAAGGAAATGAATTTTTTATCAATTAAAATTAATAATTAAATCAGAATGAAAATAAATTTTAGGGATATGATGTATTTTATTTGGCCAATGAAAAAAGGCATATTACTGGTTTAGATTTAAGTGAAACAGTCATTGATCAAGCTATTCAAGTAAATAATATCATTATTATTTACACACATAAATTATATAAAATTTATTAATACACATTTTTATACATATAAAGCTCCAAAAAAACAAAGCAATTGATTCTTCTATAGCAACTTTTATTGCTGGTGATTTCTTTAAACTTAGTCCAACAGAGAAATTTCAACTTGTCTATGATTACACGTAAATAAATATTTTTTAAAGAAAATTATATATATATAATAATTCTTAACAATATATATTTTATAGTTTTTTATGTGCATTACCTCCAACTTTAAGAGAATCATGGGCATCAAAAATGGCAGAATTAATTTCACCAGGTGGTGTATTAATTGCTTTAATTTTTCCTATTTGGTCTGCTAGTGATCATGAAGGTGGTCCGCCGTATGCTTTAAATCTTGAAATGTAAGCATTCATTAATTTATTCATATTGTATACAAGTAAATGTATTTGAGTGGAGATTGATTAGTAATTTTCTTTTTTAAATATTTTTATAGATATCAAGAACTACTTGAAAATGATTTTACAAAAGAATACTTTGATCCTGATTGTCCAAGTTATGAACATAGAAAAGGATACGAAGCTATGTCTGTATGGAGACGTAAATGAAATTTATTATATATAGAGTGTAACAAAAAATTTTGGAAATTTTTATTTATTCATTCATTCATTACTCTAAAATTATTGCATAAACATTAACAAAAAAAATATATCAAATAAAGTTTAAAATCTAAAGTTTTTTGATATAAAAAATTAATAATTTTTTCTTTCGTGATTATCCCCCCACCGAACTAATAAGGTAATTATAACATTATTTGGAATTCTATCCCGTCATATACTGCTCTAATTCTGAGAAATCGCATGCGTATTTCTACATTCTTTTTACAATTGCCCAAAAATTTTCAATTGGATTTAAGTCTGACCAATCCATAATTTCAGGAAAATTTTCACCAAGAAATGTTTAACAAAATTCTGGAAACGTCATGCATTCTTGTTTGTGTCTTCGTAATATACCAATATAAAAATTTGCATTCATAATTCTTCTGAAACAAAGAGAAAGGTTTTTCCTTGTATATAAAATCCTCCCATGCAAAAATTTTAGTTCGATATTTAGGAATCCTTTGTACCATTGAGTAATTTCTTTCTATTTGTTTGATTATAACTTATAACCAAAAATAATATTTCAATCTAGTAAGTTTTAATACAAATCCATAATATATTTCAAATATCAGTATCAATAATATTTATCTGGTTCCTCTCAAAAATCGTTTGGAATTCATTATAGTATTTTCTCCAATTTCTGGTTATTTTACCTTTAGCATCACCTTCGATATATAAATGCATTAACTGATAAATAATAATAATTAGTTCGTAGCTGGAGTATATGATAGTATAATAAAAAAATTTTCTTACTTTATAATCACGTACAAGACTTTTAAAGACAAATTTTAGATACAACACTTAAAAAAATTTCTTTTATCGTTTCAATAAGATCGTGGTATTCTTCATTGTTTTTTTTTTATTCATCAATTAAAATACGAATTAAATTCATTGGTCCACATTTTTAAAGATGAGTTAGTGGCAGCTGAAGAAGAATAAGAAAATAACAACATAGAAAATCAATCGGCATAGATAATTTTATATGGGCCATGCTGTAACAAAACCAGACAATGTGTACATTGATATTATCAGAGATTTCAGGGATCAATATTTAGTTTTTTCATCTTTGTTTTAATAATAATAATAACCAGAAATTAACTTGGGTTAAATATTATTTTTTTTAATGTAGTGATAGTGCTATTTTTAAATATGTTGTGCGTGAATTTGGAATCTGCGTCAATTTGAAATTCACGCGCGCGAAATTCAAATTAGCCAATCAGAATTTTGTATTCAAAAACCCACCCCTCCTTTCTCTTTTTTTCGGCTTCTTCCTCAGTTCGGGGTAAATTTCAAATTGACACAAATTTGATTTTCACGCACAACAAATATATACAAATGTTCACATGTTAAGTTTTTATCAATACAAATCATTGTTATCTATTTACTTTCTGTACATCCCTTTTTGTGGTGTCATAGTACAGTCAATGATGGTTGAATTTTTACATTTATAGCTACCAGCTTCCTGTAAATACTCTACTATATCATTATCACTCATTTCTTCAACAATGTTGATTATTTTACAGACAATCATCTATTGAGAACAGTTATATATTAGATGGTATCAACATTAACCTTTGCTTTCCAAGTCAAAACAATACACTTAAGGGATTTTTCAAAACATTTAATATCAGTTGATATCTGCAAAGTATCTGATCTGGCTATTCTACAAAGATAGCCAGCAGGAGCATCTATAAGTAGCAGCATCATAAAAAGGTCTGCATGATAATATAGTTAATATTTTATGCAAAATTTATGAGAGTTGAAGAAAAAAAATATATCTACTGCATCAGGAAATTAATTTAGCGTAAACTTGCATAAATCTTACGATGCCGACGTAATATTGTGTAAATCTTACAGTGCCGACATAAGTTTTACACTTTTTTATTATTAAACTTACAATTGACACATGTAAAAATTTTTTATATTTTCCGGATGTGGGATGAATGAAGCTAACTAATTCCAATTGCCCTATAAAAAATTTGCATATGGAAATTCCGTATGAATTATAATTTTTATTGCTATTACTAGGGGTTCTGACCATATTTATTGACGGATTCGGGGAGCTGGGCAATCCTTCAAGTTGATCTAATTTATTAGCAATATTGACTATTGCATAATCAATTTCCATTGGTTCGAATACTCTATTATCCTCAGTCTCAAGACCCAATTCCACATAATTTTTTAACTCTTCATAGTATTTTGCTTTCTCAGTTTTTGGACAGAAATTTTGATATTCATATATTGGAGGATTTGTAATTCGTTGAAATGGTTGAGATTTCAGTTGTTGAACATTTTGCTGAGGCGGTTGGAATACTGGCTGTTGAACAATTTGCTGAGGTGGTTGGAATGCGGGTTGTTGTACAATTTGTTGGGGTACCTGAGACACCATCCCATTCATATTATTCGCACTTCCGTAATTAAATGAAGAAGGCCTACATTTGAGCCACAATTTCTTGAGATCGGTGAAAAATGCATTGATATTTGCAGGATTTGCACTTTCCATTCGATTGAAAAGGTCATTGGGTAAATGATTCATAAGGAATGACAAGGCATTAGCATCATTGTTAGCAACACCCAATAATAGGGGGCGTATTCTCATCTCATATGTTTCCAGCGTATCATTAGGTAAAAATTTTTCGTAAGCTAATCTCTGGAGAGCAACTTGCTGTGTCCCAATCATTTCTGTCTGATATTTATGATGCAACCATGCAATAAAGCGAGCTGGAGTATCAATATTATTTCCAGCATGTTGATCGGGTACATCTGCATATTTTCGACCAAGTCTACCTTTTAAAATAGCTACTTTATTGGCATCATTGAGATTAGTTATCGCAGGAATGGCTAGTATGGCATGAATTTTATTATACCATTCATCAGGCTGAACATGTCCATCATAGAATTCAACATTTGTGAGTAAAGGTGTAATACCAGTTAAGTCACCTATAGCTGTCATATTTGGTAGGTTATTATGAAGCATTAAAATTTGTTGATTTAAATTTATAATTATTTGCCTCGAATTTTTTTCCTTATTTTCCCATTTTTTGTGTTTCGCCTTTTGCTTGATATGTTTAGCTTTTCTCTTTGCATACTTTCTACACCAATCTTGTAAATCAGCTTGGCAATTTTGTAATTGACCTGTCTGGAAATTGTATGCCTGATTAATAAGATCAAAATTATTATTGGTATTAACCAACTGATTGGTTAAATTACCAACTTGTTGATAATGGACTTGTGATTGGGTGTTTTCCCACTCAGCTATATCACGAAGCCTAGCTACAGCATTTTTAATATTGGTAAATTCATTTTCTATAGTAGATCGTGGGATGGCAGGTGTTCTCCGTAATATAGCATCAATATTCCTAAAAGCATTTCAAACAGATTCAGATGTGGTCTGGTATTCATTAGGTCCTGGCACTTGAATTGTTTGAGCCATTACAAGTTTATTATACTTCCGAGATGTAATTTTTTGGATTCTATTTTTTAACTTGATCACTTCCTCTTTGAGTATAGTCAACTGTTGCTCGCGATTGAGTAGAAATCCCTCTTTTTTATCAACATCTTTTAGAGCAGATTGAAGACGTTTTTCAAGATTGGAAACTTGAGATTTAAGTTCCTGTATTTCCTTTTCGTGTGCTATAATAGTGTTATCCTGAAATGAAATGGTTCTACTGCATTGCTCTAACTCTTTTATGAGAACGCAGATTTTTTTCTCATTTTTGCGGTTTATGTCTACTTCTTTACCCAACTCTTTACGTAACTCTCAATTAGTACATACGTAAACTCGATAAGTCGGTCATGTCAGGGCAGACCCCTGCAACTGACTTATCGAATTTCATGTGATTTTTTAATTTATTAAAATAAAAAATGTTAACATTGAAAAATATATAATAATAAACATTGAACTCCCTTTTTACTACCACCTTTACTAGATGATCCTTCGGTGCTCATAATTATGGTTCTATAATGTGTGTTTTTAAAGGTTAATGTTAAGTATTTATTGTAAACAATTACAATTTTTTGAAATTTTTAAAATGTTTATTTATTATTTATATGTTATTGATTTTTTTATCTCAAACATCAGGTTGCGAAATCAACCTTTTTATACATATTTCTGAACATAATAAAATTTTATAGGAATACGAATGTATTTTTTCTTCAGACTACATCAATGATATAACTGATGATATAACTGTTGATATAAAAATGAGATAAAAAAATATAGATGTATTGTTTGCAATTAGACAAGAATGTTCTCCGAATTATTTGAATGATACAATTGATGATACAACTGCTGAGATAATAAAATATTAATGCATTATTCATGATAAGAATTAATGACACAATTGATGATATAACTGCTGAGATAATAAAATATTAATACATTATTCATAAAACATAATTGTAGTTCACAAGTGAGAATGCTCTCTTCCTTCTAAATTATAAATGAGATAATAAATGGATACAATTGATGACATAAAAATGAACAATAAAGAGTTTTTACATCAGATATTTTATTACAAATAATCATTTTGCTAATGACAAATAAAATTATTAGATCATACGTTACTAAAATAGTAATGATGACCCTTTACATAATGAGCTATCACGTGAGACCGACTTATCGCGATTCATTTAATTATACTTGGGCTAAGTGATTGACCGACTTAGCACTTATCATGACTTTATATAGATTGACTAGCTTATCGAATTTTTTTAAATAGTAAAAAAACGGGGTGAAAATTTTTGGCCGAGTTAGGCCAAAACCGACTTATCAAGTTTACATATGTATCTAGCAGTTGTAGATATGCTGGATTGAAATTATAATCCATTATTTTTATAGTTCATATTAAAATGCATCAAAAATGAGTATACCTAGTATTATAATTAACACTGATGAGGAATTAAAAATCGTTCTTCGTATAATTTATTATCACGTACCTGGATTTAGT